CTGAACCTCTTCAAAACACTCCAAAAACGTTGAAAGCCCTCTCAAACCCTCCAAACCGCACTCTGAAACGTTCGAAAATCGTCGCACAGTCCTCCCAAACCATCAGAAAGCCTCTGAAAACCCTCGAAAACCCTCAAACAGGGCAGATAGCACCAACAACAAAAAACAGAGGACCACACAGAGGACGCGAGGACGGGAAGACCAGAGGACCAGAAGATCAGAAGACGAGAGGACCCACCAAAGGACCCGGGGGGGGGGGGGGGGGNNGGGAAAAACAAGGGGAAAACCTAAATCACCCTCCCCCGAATAGACTGGCCCCCCAAAATAACAGCAACTCTCACTTGGATGCATCCCGAAGCTTCGGATCAAAACTGGCAAAAGAAACCCTGCAACAAGGCGGAACCGGAACTCAGTCCCGCAAGCCTCTTTCCACACACATCGGAGTGCTATGGAGTGCTCTCGTTCAAGCTTGGGTACCAGCAGTATCGAACAAAGTGTTGCTTCCAGCCGCCGGACATGAATGCCTGCACACCCGCCCATGCACCAAACACTTCACAAATTGCGATGCCTTGTGCATCTTTGTGCGCCGTAGCCATTCACAGCTACAGCATGCTTGCAGCAGACGTGGGCATTCCTGCTGAAAAATTCATGGTCTGCTGTGTATTTGCCCTCTTGTGGGCATGGCCACCCACAAAGGATGGCGTGCATCCTGCTGAGAGCGGGTCCAGCTGGCCTAGGGTAGATCTTGCGTGCGGTCCATAGGGGAAAGAGTGCGCATGTGCGCCTAGTTTGTCAGTGTCGTGCCCAATCATGTAAACTAAACCCTGTCGACCTCACCTCGGGCGAACTAGGCTAGCAGTCTCGCGCCAGTTGCATGAGTTAAAATCCGAGATTGTGTCGATGCTTGTCGCGAGCAGGCATCGCTCACGACCTCTCACGCGGTTTTTTTTTGAAGGGGAATGCATCAAACACATGCGCCGAAAACCACTTGAAATTTATGCATCACAAGGCAAGAGTAGCAATGTATCCCTTCCTATGCCGTTGTGAAGCCGAGGCCTTGTCCACGGCATAACCCAACTTGACCCAACGGAGCTGCAAGCCTGCGCCTTGGTCGAACGACATGGATGGTCATGCCAGCCTTCTGCCCTCATGCGGATTCTCATGTGGTAGACCCATGCGCGAAGACCCACCTGTTGCATCAACGCGCAGTCGCCCTGTCCGGAGCAACTCCTGCACGTCACCTGTGGCTTCCTCAGTCCATCAAGATAATCAAGATCTTGTCTGCATTGCTAGAAATGGTTCGGTGTTGGTGTTGGCATCACGACTCGACCAAACACGTACTGTTTGCCTCTTCGGGATCTCGCGGAATACAAGTTCCACTTCGGACCACTGTGCCCTAAACACTAAACATGACTGCGTACACACAATCACACACAGAAGATGCTTCGCTCGACACACATTTTTTCCGTCGGTGAGGGGGAATGTCCGAGTTTCTGCGGGTTCTACCCACATAGCCTCCGGCCCAGGGGGTTGCCGCCAGTGCATGCCCTGGGGTCGGGACAACCTTCACCCCTAATTCACCGCTCAACCTTCCAGGAGACTGAAGCAGTCGCACAACGTCTCATTTACATATGACGCCTTCAGCTTGCGGCCTTTCCCAGACAGTGTCTGCAGCAGCTCCCGCAATGGGTTATCATTTCATTCATTCACACGCTAGTCGAGTCGACTATTGAGCGGGCGCTACGTAATCATACCACCTGGTAGGTCTTTCGGCACGCCGGATATCGTGCTAATGCCACTATCCCGAGTGGCAGCTGCATAATGCATAAAAACAGCTGAAACTTGTGAAAATGAGACGTACTAGCTTATACACATTGTGAATCAACTCGATAAGTCCTACAGCACAGGTCACAAAGTGCAGCGAAACACGGCCGTCAGGCGGCACCCGACTCTGAAGGGCCGGCAGTCGGCACCCGAAGCACAAGCAAATAGCGCATCCTTGCGACTTCATTGACAAAGGGTGCCCACGCAAGCCCCGAAGGGCCACACAGTCAAAAGCTGCGACAGAGGCTTTCTCGCTCTTACCAACCCAGAGCCACAGCACTTCTGCCCGTTCGCAAAGAAATCAAACAAATATAGCAACACCGATGTCTTCGAGAGCCAAAATCTACAAGCAAGAAGTAGCCTGACTTGAGACTCCAGTGATTCACACGCTTGGGCACGTAACCACCACCAGCAGGCACATTGGCACATTGCCCTGGTGACACCTCGCTGTGCAAAGAGTTGGCCAAAATGGTGCCACCAGGGAGGTCAGACCCTTACGGCAAGACTTGTAGTTGCCAGCAGCACCTTGTGAGAAAAGTGCCCTTGTTGACAGAGAGGCGTTGGGACAAAAAACAGGCCACGGTATATGACCTTGGCCACTGCGGAAGAGCTCCGTCGGCACGACTCCTTGCATGCAGAGGAGGACCCCTCTTCTCTTGTTCCCTGGATGCCTCGTGCCAAGTGCAAGGAAGGCACCATTTCTTACATCCGTCAGGGGCCGAAGGAAGAAACAGAGCCGTCGACACGACAACTCGCCTGCAGAGGAGGCTCCCGTTGCTCTTGTGCTCGGCATACCCCGTAGCAGCAGCCGGCTGTCCCAGTAGGGGCCGAGAGACGGCACGCCTCACAACGTGTACGTGGTCATGATGTTCGGTTTTGGAGATCGCGCCTCCCGCGCTCCCAATTCCCGCCAATGGGAAGCTGTGTGTTGTTAACACTGATCGGTCTTGCCTCTGTGGGGGCCCCAAAGGGAACCCTCAGGCTAGCCATCAAATAGCCTAGAAGCTGTGCACACGGTAAGTTGATGATCCCGGACTTGCGACCGGACGAGCTGAAACATCGTAAGTGGTGCAGTATTCTCCTCGCAAACCTCTTAAAAGATCTTCACAAACAGAAAGCTCCGAAAGCAGGGCACTGTAAACCAAACGGTGAGTCAACAACGGAACACGGATGCCAGGCCAAGCTGGAAGTGTGACAGGAGCAGAAACTCTCCACTGCTGAAGTCTACTGCAGGGGCTTGCGCAACGTGCAACTCGCCTCTTCTTTCCCGAAAGCAGCAGGCCTGCAAGTCCACGACCAATGAAATGGCTCGCGCGGAAGCAACCAAAACGGAGCGCACGCATACGGAGGATCCGCGGCGCCTGAATGGCCGGATCCCAACAAGCAACATAGCTAGCCAAGGAGGACTCCGGCGCCACTGCTGACGGTAAGCACGTACAGTCGAGCACGGTGCTACGACAACATGTCGCGGGCTGCGAAAGGCAGAGGGCGGCCACTTTGTCAGTGGCATGCGGCCGTGGAGTCTTCGCCACTTGCACCGTGCCATTGACCTCTTCCATCGGAAAGTCGTCTATGACCCACAAGCGTGTTGCTTCCAGATCGCTGAGCGGAATCGGCCCTTCAAGCCTCCGGCACTGCACTTTTCGCATGTCTGTCTCATCACTTCCGCATCCAGCTCACCTGTCGGTCGGACCTTCGAAAGCACCCCTGAGCGAATGCTGAAAGCTTCCCCCGTGACCTATTCTACAGTTGTTTTGGCAGGCTTGACTGCAGGCGCGAAAATACCCGTGATGGATACTTCACCGGGAGCTGCATGCCCTGCAAAAGTTCATCGAAGGCACCCGGGTGTGGGGAATTATACTCCGCGAGGATTTCTTTGTAAAGCAACCAGCGCTTTGGCACCAAGATGGCCCTGCAGGAAGCATGCAATGTCGTGTGGAGCTCTAGTTGTTCGGAAGCGAGTTGCTCTGCCCTCTTGGCGCATTTGAGGATCCAGTGGAGTCTTCATTTTTGCAAGGTCTGCATCGTCCATGGTTGTGTTTCATTCAACCGCACTGCTTTCAGAAGCACATCTGGCAATGCCTCAAGGAAGCTACGCGGGTCAAACTCTGCCTCAGAATGCAGCACGCCCCACGCTTTCTCAAAGTTTCAACTTCGGACCCAACTAACCAATCCCCAACCTTAACAGATATGGGAGTGCTGCGGAGGAGCTGATTCTTCGCAGGAACACACGCAACAAATGGCATGGCTCTGACACCAGCAGGCAGCGGAAAGGGCTGTTCGAGACGCTCTCCAGTCGCAAGGACAGGGCAAAGGCTGCTGCGAACGCAGCAAAAGTGCCACCATCTTCTGTTCACTCACAGGAGCAGGGAGCCTGGAAGCCTTGATGTGAATGTCTGCGATGGCTCTTTCAACTGCTGAGGCTAGCTTGTCCTAAGCTATGTTCTACACAACCCTGGCCCCAACCCAACCGCGCGAAACCATGCTCTTCAACGCCAGCACTATGCCAGCTGCCAGCTGCGAGGGATAGGCGGTTTCCTGCGTAGTAGCGAAGCCACTCGGCGCGGCGGGGCCACGAACCCCCAAGGCAAATTCTGCTTGGCGCAATCAGGACCGATTCAAAAGCGAGCCAGGCTCACAAACGCAGCACGCTTGTTTGCGATTGCAGTCTGTTTCCGGCGCCGGCCGCCGCAGGCACAGTGGTCAAAACTCAGATAGTTGACCAACCACGACAAAATGCTCTCAAGGCCCTACAGTACTTCCTCTACTTGCAAGCTGTGATGCCGCAATCTTCCGGCAAGTGTCACATCAACAAGTGTCACAACCACGCACGCACTATTATCACTTTCCCAATGCAGGCACACACACACATGCGTGGAAGTTGCGAGTTGCTAATGCGCGTCCAAGTGTGGACTCACTCTTAGCCCAAGTGAAAGAGTTATCATGTCACTAGTCACTAGTCACTAGTCACTAGTCACTAGTCCATGACGACCCGCAGCAAGAACTGTTCGTGTTATTCCGTGTTATCGTGGATATATAGCTGCAGTGAACAATCCGGAAGGAGCATGTACTGAGCATGTATGTCGAAATGCCAGCCAATCTCCAACTCGCCTTCGCAGTCCCGGAAAAAGCTTTGGGGAATTTCCATGACTCACGGATGCTTATGGTTACCACAAGATAGCACTGAAGAGGACTCGCTTGGGTAGGTAACTCTGTCCCTGTTTTCACATGACATCGTCTAGGTCTGAGCCGCTGGCCTCGTCGGAATCCACAGGTTCGAGCAAGTACTTCCCCCCACCGAGCGCATCCAGTGGCAAGGTCTCTTCAAAATCATCCTCCAAGTGTCGAATCTGGATACCTGTTGCAGCAACTTCCAATACCTGGCCGTTGCCACAAAATGGCAGGTGCAAGGAAGACAGCATGCATTGGCTGGGAAGTAAACCACCTGAGAACAGGAGTGACAAAGAACTATACTAGACGTATGCAGATGCCGGATACCTGTGATTGTCAAACCCCGGAGCCTGTGCCATGTAGCTTCCCTGCCATTTGCCTTTCAGAACACGAACTGAAACACGCTTTCCAGGCAACTGCTCTTTGGCAGTTTTGAATTTTAACTCTTGTAGAATCTCTTCCCATCTCGTCTGGATCTCCTGCAGCAGCAAAGCTTTTCTCGCCACTGCTGAAGTTGGCAACAACGGCCCAGACTCTGCAGAAAGACCCAGAACATAGCCGTCCTTCAGATCGCGAACTCCATGCTGATGACACCATTCCTGTGCCGCGGGCACACTGCTAAAATTCAATGATGAAGAGAATTCTGTGAGGACTGACTCACACTTCTCAGACTCTGAAGTGAAGGTGGGGATTCGACGTTCCGCAATGCAGCATGCAAGCCTGAAGCAATCAAGGCACCAAGACATCTTCCAAATAATCCTCCAGTTCAATTTCTTCTAACCATGCCGACAACCCGGCCACTTGGAAAGCCTGTTCATTGTGAGCGCCAGCGCAAGAGCCTTGTTCCAATCCCAGGTCGCTTATGACTTGCTCCCAATTCTCCTGGACCTCTTCCAAAAGCACAGCCCCATTGTCGTGACACCAGTCGGCCACCTTCTGAAAAGAGTGCTCGTATCCGACTTCACGAAGCCACTCCTCCAGGCCATTGATCTCCGAGCTGTCTTTCGACGCGAAGGCCGCTGCGACCGCAGAGGTCCGCTTGCCTTCGCTTGCCAGCTTGCACTCAGAGCGAAAATAAGCCTCAATCTCCTCGGTAGTTCCCGCTCGCTTCGTAGCAAATGCAACAGGGCACAACGGCACAGCAACACAACAGCAGGAACTGTTTTCTGCAACTATGGCAAGCGTCAGCTTTGCTGTAGGTGCCTTTGTACTTGAGCAGCATCTCGTCGAGTGTTTGTGCTCTACCATCTTCAGGATCCACTCGTCTCTCCATGGTGGGCACGGCCAGTGCGAGACAAGAATAGAAGCGCTTTGTCCTAGAGTCCTAGAGCCGATGCTATGGAAACCGCATGTTGGTCTCTTACTCTTGCTGCCGGCTTTGACTGCCAGCTTGCTGCTACGCTCGGTGTAGTGCGCGATAGTGCCATAGTGCCAGTGGACAGGAAAGTGTCAACTGCTTATGACAAGCCTGGACCAACCTGGGAAGGACAGCACGCAATGAATTCCTTAGGTTACCGTTTGATGTCGCAGGGTGCAGCCGAAAGGACAGGTTAGCCTCAAGAGAATCCCATCCAAGCGGCACGAAGATTGCAAAATTTTCTCCCGCAGGTCACTAAATCGATCGCAAGTCTCCATTCGGCTGGGTCCTGACCAGTACCGTCACGAAGCCACTCTTCGCTAAGCTGTCTCAGCACGGCTCGCGAGACCTCTTTGGAATGCCGTCTCGGCCGTCGGAGACTGCAGTGTGCTTTCGCAAACGCGTCAAAGTCTAAGAGACTTTGGCATCTCCACAAACACCTGGACACTTGCGAAATCTAGCTGCATCCAGCTACGCAAAAAACACACTCTGATCGACCATACAAAGGCGTTCTTCTTCACAGTGCCTGGTGCGTGAAGTCTTTGAACTGATGCATCTCGGGTGTTTGTGAATGTGCTGAAGAGCCTGCTGCCACCTGCCGGCAGGTGTACCATCACGCAGAGTGCAAGATGAGCCAGGCAGTAAGGCTGAATGAGGCTTTAGGCTTGGGCGGAGCCTCGAAGATGGCCCCAAGCTTCGATTCCGTGAAGGAAGACACCTCGATTTTCTAGCAGCGTTTCGTGACATAGGCCGCAGGGCCGCAAGGTGCATAGCATAACTTTCTGGGATTCGCACAAAGAATTTGGCCGCTTGTCCTCCTGTGCCCGCATCCGTCCAGAATTCTTCTGCAGGGACCTTGAAGGACTTACGCACCGGCAACTCTACTGTCCGTACCGGTCGAACAGTCTAACAGGCGTACTTGCCGTGTCCAGTCCCTGGGGATGCAATGGACTCGTGTCACCTGAAACGTGAGAAGGCCAGAGAAACATGCACGGAAGCATCACGGTGCCGGTTCATGTGGCCAGGAACACTCCAGGAACTGGCAGGTGTTGGCGCCTCCGGCTCCGCATCCGCCTGAATTTTGACAGGTTTTTGAGAGGACTGGCGAGACCCTCCTCCAACATGAAGAATGGCTCGGCGGGGGTTTTGCGGTTTCGGTCCCCGCAATTGAAGCTAAAGGACAAATAGTGCGGGATAGTTACAAAGTTATAACATGACCAGGACGGTCCATAATACTACTGATGCTACGAACCAGGGGGATCAGTGCCCACGGCAAGAAGTGATACTACCGATGCTACTATTAGAAGTACTACAATACTGAACTAGTCACTGGTCAATACGGGCTGGAATCTCGAACTAGCAACGTGTGGTAACTAAGTATACAGTCCTAGATATTCATGAGCAGTCATAAATCAACTAATTGCCATTGGCACGAGGGTCTGTAGGCCTGCTGCGTGAGGAAACCTTACCAAAAGTGTGAACACCAGTGAAAAGGTAAAGTCGAATTTACATGACAGTGTGCTTTCGCGACTAGTCTTGTCATGCCCAGTCGTGGGAAACAGCGGCAGATTCCAGGAGTGTTTGTGTTTGTGATTAACTTATGGTTTTGGTATGGCTTCACGAACCCATGAGTTTACGATTCGCTATGCTTTGAGGTTTATGACTTTGTTATGGCGTATTTATTCTTTGGTTTATGATTTGTTTATGGATTCTTGGGGTGCCATATTCTTATATGGTTTTCCGACTTGCAGCCGAGCTGCTTTCCAAGCCGTGCTTTCCCGCGTTGCGCAACCATAACCATATTCGAAGCCGTATAATGAAAACAGAACAAAACCATCTTCGAAACCAAATCAAAACCATACGTGTGACGAAACCCTGAACCATAACAAATTCGTAGCATTATCATAAGAATAACTATTGGCACATACCCCTACTTTGCCAGCACTGGTCGTCACAAGCCTAACCACTCTTTAACGACGACAACTGCAGCACCAGCACCAGCACAAACACCACTACCAACAAAAACCAAACAACACCAACACCAGAATCAACACCAACACCAACACACCAGCACCAGCACCAGCACCAGCACCAGCACCAGCACCAGAGCACCAGCACC